ACTATTTCTGATACAAGCCAGGATGCCATCGGCCTTCTTGGCCACCTGGGCACACTGCTGGCTCATATTCAGCCAGCTATTGACCAAAAATGATCCGGAGGATGAGGCAGACTGTACTCTCAGCAACTTTGCAGATGAAGCCAAACTAGGAGGAGTGGTTGATACACCAGAGGGTCATGTTGGCATCCAGAGGGACCTCAGCAGGCTGGAGAAATGGGCTGTCAGGAACCTCATGAAGTTGAACAAGAGGAAATCCAAAGTCCTGCGCCTGGAGAGGAACAACCCCAGGCACCAACGTATGGTGGGGACCACCCAGCTGTAAAGCAGATCAGCAGAAAAGGGCCTAGGGGACCTGCTGGACACCAGGTTGAACATGAGCCAGCAACGGGCCCTTACCACAAAGAAGGCCAACTGTATCCTGGGCTGCATCAGGCAGAATGTTGCCAGCAGGTGGAAGGAGGTGATCCTTTCCCTCTGCTCAGCACTGGTGAGGCCACACCTGGTGTGCTGGTTCCAGTTCTGGGCTCTTCAGTACAAGAGACATGGACAGACTGGAGAGAGTCCAGTGAAGGGCCACAAAGACGAAGGGACTGGAGCATCTCTCCTATGAGGAAAGGCTGAGAGAGCTGGGACTGTTCAGACTGGAGAAGAGAAGGCTCAGGGAGAATCTTATCAATGTCTATAAATACCTGAAGGAAGGGTGCAAAAAGGATGGAGCCAGGCTTTTTTCAGTGGTGCCCAGCGGCAGGACCAGAGGCAATGGGCACAAACTGAAACACAGGAGGTTCCCTCTGAACATCAGAAATCAATTTTTTGCTGTGAGGATGACCAAGCACTGGCACAAGTTGCCCAGAGAGGGGGTGGAGTCTCCATCCTTGGAGATGCTCTAAAGCTGGTCCTGGGCAACTGGTTCTTGGTGGCCCTGCTTGAGCAGGGGAGGTTGGACCCGATGACGTAAAGAGGTCCCTTCCAACCTCAACCATCCTATGTGAAGGTTAGAGATAGAAAACGAACTGTCATACTTCACAGTGCACTCATGCCTACTCTCCATTTGTTGAAAGAAAAAAAAAAAGAAAGAAAACTTCAGTTTTGAAATTATAAACCAGCAGTGCCAATAATAACTTCTGATACATGCCTGTAAGCCCTGTTAGGGAGAATTTACCTGCCAGGTGAGAATGTGGAGCTTAAGGAAGTCATTCTACACTTGAGAAACCACCATCGTAGCTAACACCCTTACTTGTGTTACAAAGCTAATGGATCTTGGCTCATACACAGATTTGAGACATGATCTGATGTTGGTCAGTCACTTCCTACCTGCATATAGGAAAAAAATACTTAGTTTCAAGCAACTTTTTATTTCCAAATTACTTTCCTCCATATATGCAATGACCCTTAATTTTGAATTATATTTCACATCTTATTAATACTGTATGCACTTACTACCTTTCTAACATTAGACAACTAACTGCTTTTCAGTTATTAGGGGAAGATTTGTCACAACAGACTTCCACTTGAACTGATTATTATGCTTATAGTTATGCCATTCCTAATTATCACAAATGGAAACAACTTCATTTTATGAATATCATACCTAAATTTTTAACTGGGTTACCTGAGTAACTTGGATTTACACTGTGTTTCTTAAGACTGCAATGAAATACGCATGGAAATGTATTTATGTATCAATGAGTATTAGTTTAACTATGCCAGTCTGTCAAAAACATGCAGGCTGTCTGGTATTTGCTTTTACATTAGAGTATACTATTTCAAGACCAGTAATAAAATAAACAGTGTTCATCTGAGATGCATAGTGTTACAGTGGTACTGTTCCAGAAAACCAAATAAGATATTTAATCATTCAGCTGAGACTCAGTTTCTTATCTGCAAAGGTTGTAGGTCACACACTGTCTTTAATCACTCACAGGTGATTCTACTTCCTCTTCCATTTTTCTTTGTATTTCAAAACACATGCTGACTGCACATGTTGTCAAGCTAAAATGGCAGTATACTGCGTCTCTTATGAGTTATCAACATATTTCAGTAAGTAAACATTGTACAACAGAAATCATCTGATACGGGAGCTACGGGGGATGAGGGTTAATGAGTTAACAGTAGGCAGAGGAACCCGGTCTGAGGCTGGGGACTTGCAAGGAGGAACCCATCTGCCTCTACAGTATACACAGCTGAGTCTCCTGTACGTGCGAGCACCATCTCAATGCTAGGGAAAAGCCCCCTATGCCTATTAAGCTACTTACAGTGCTTCACTGAAACATCTCAGGGTATAATTTACTTAATGCATTTGTCACAGAATATTTCATGACTTTGTATTCCCATGTATGCAGAAAGACAGAACATTCAAAGCTCTGTTTAAAATGTCAATACAGAATAACTTTGTTATAAATATAATCCTGTCCTAGAAAGACTTTGCATTGTGTTTATGGGGAAGTGGG